CCCCTCCTCCCCCCACCAGACCCTATGCGGCCCCCTCCCCAAGTCCCTCGCCCAGAGGCCCCGCCCATCCAGGGCCCAGGGAACCTCCGAGGCAGAACATCCCACAAACTATCTGCAACTTTGGTGTGATCCTGGGAGGCAGCCGGCACAGCGTCCGTCCACTCCGCCATCCCACCGGAAGTCTGATCCCCATGTTTTAGAGCCAGCACCCTAAGGGCATGTCCTTCTTTTTCATGCACAAAAAGGAAGAAGAGAATCTGGTAGTTAGGATGCCCAAGAGAAGGTGGATTTATTAAACTCTCCTTCAAGGTCTTGAAGGCCACGTCACCCTGTTCTTCCCATGAAATTGTGTCAGGACTGTCATTCTTTAATAGGACATATAGAGGTTTTGCCATAAGAGAAAGATTTGGAATCCAATTTCGGCAATAGCTAACTAGCCCAAGAAACTCTTGCAATTGACACTTAGTCTTGGGCCTCAGGAAACTTAGGACGCCATGGAGTCTGTCTGAGTCCAGGTGCAGACCTTGTTCCAATAACAGATGTCCCAAGTATTGAAGCTGAACTTGGGAAAATTGTAGTTTCTCTGTAGAGACCTTATGTCCCTTTAAGGCCAAGAGTGTCAGCAAATGGATGCTATCATCCTGTGAAGAAACATGAGAAGAAGAGCAAAGAAGTAAGTCATTCAAATATTGTAACAAAGTGGAACCTTTGGGGAAAACTATATCTTCCAAACCAGTCTTCAAAATCTGTGAAAAATAAGAAGGGCTGTCAGTAAATCCTTGAGGCATTACTGTCCAGGTAAATTGCTTTCCTTCCCAAGTGAAAGCAAAAAGGTATTGGCTATCTTCATCGACTGGGATGCTAAACAATGCACTGCATAAATCAATTACTGTAAAGAATTTGCTTCTAGTTGGAATGGATGCTAGCAGTGTATGGGGATCAGGAACAACAGGGTGTCAAGGGATAACAATGTGGTTTATTGCTCGTAGGTCCCAGACAAACCTCCACCCTCATCCCTTCAGCTTTCTCACGGATAGTATTACAAGGATTACTGCAAGGAATAATAAGACCCTGAGATATGTAATCTTCTATTATGGGCTTTATACCTTGAATAGCCTCCTTACTTATAGAATATTGATTAATTCAAGGCAGAGGTTTTGAAGGATCAATTTGAACCTTGATAGGAGCTGCATTGTGAATTCTACCAATATCAGCAGAAGAATTTGCCCATAAAGAAGATGGTAGTTGGTCTAACAGGGACCATTGATCACTGTTTTTAGATTTAGTTACTGTACTATCAGAGACAGCACAAATAAACGATGCTGTAAGGTCATGAAATTCACCTGATTGGTGATTTCGATGGTTACCATCAAACTCTAGCATTATCTCTCCTTTTCAAGAAAAGGGATATTCCAGCATGATACTTCTCCAAGAAATCCCTGCCTATAAATGGAAAGGGGAAGGAGGGCTAAGGAGAAAACAATGTTCATCTCTTAAGGGACCTAGACAAAAGGGAATAGGTTTAGATATGTAAACTTGTTGAGGTTTATTTGAAATCCCCACTATTTGAAATGTCTTGTAACTCTGAGGCAGGGTCTGGTTTATAACAGTGGGGTTGAGCACTGAGAGTGTAGCACCGGTGTCAATAAAAACAGAACTAGTTTCCTCCCCAATTTGAAGAGAAGTTTCTCCAAGGGAACGGACTGGAAAAAAACCCTGAAATTCCTTGGAGCCCCATCACTGGGAATTTGGAGGGCCTAAAAGAGACTGGTTAGTAGGCAGAGAGCATCTTGTATGCTTCAACTTATGGCAATCCCTTTTCCAATGTACTTGTTCCTTGCAGTATTGGCAAAAAGTTGGAGTTCTCTGGTTTCCCATAGGGCTTCTTGTTTGCCATGGCTGAAACTCAGATGTCTTGGCAACCTCGTTTTTAGGCGAGTCATCTAGGGTACTGGCAAGTTCATTAGCAAAATTTACCAAGTCTAGGGTAGGCATAGTTCCCCATCCCATCCTGGATCTTCTAAACAGGAGGGAAAGGTTTTTATTTAGCCCACTAACAAACAAGGAATTAAAAGTAACATGTGTAGAGTCAATATCTGAAGGAAGACCACCTGAAACCTATTATAATAGTCATGGACAGATTTGTGAGACCTTTGTGAGCAGGTATGAATTTTGCTCCAATCGATACACCTTGGAAAAGCCTCGGTAATTGCTCAATGCAGCTTTCGAGCAAGTTCCCTGGCTTTCTCCTAAAAATTGGAGGTTTGTTTTTCTAAATCCCTTTCAGGATGTTCCCATCCAGCAATCCTCATCCAATGTCTAGCTTGGCTTTCACCAACCAACATATGGATCAGCTGGTACAAATCAGAAAACCCAGGCTGATATGCTTGAATAGTAATATCAAACTCCTTAGCAAACTTATTAGAATCCTCAGTTACTATAGGAAATTCCTTTACAATGGCTCATAACTCAGCTTTTGTCCAGGGGATGTAAGAAATGTGGGCTTTATTAGTATCTCCAGAGGGTTTAATCTTAAATGGAAAAGTACTGGTAGGGTCTGAGGAAGAAGAGAGAGGAGGAGATTCAAAAGGAGGTGCCGCTGGGGTTTGGGTTAAAGGTGGGGGAGGAGACAAAGAAGAGCAAGATGGTGTTGAAGGTGGAGAAGGTGACAAAGAAGCAGTGGGGGAAGGGCAAGGCAGTGCTGTAGACAAAGAGCACAAGGTTTCAGACACCATTCTGTCTCTTCTAGAATTTTTTAATTTTTTTTTTTTTAGATTTTATTGGGGAATTGAGGAAGGGGAACAGCAAAGTTGTTGCTTTCAATCTTAGTTGTGGAGGGCGCAGCTAGCTCGGCTCCCAAGTCCAGTTGCCATCCAGCCACCCCATAGCAGCTCTGGCCGCTCAGCTCAAGGTGCCATGTTCAATCCTAGTTGCAGGGAGGTGTAGCCCACCATCCCATGCGGGAGTCGCAACCTTGTGGCTAGGAGCATGTGCTCTCACCATCTGAGCCATCCTGCCACCTGTTAGCAGCTCAGCTCTGGTGCAGCTCACTGGCCCATGTGGGAATCGAACCAGTGACCTTGTTGCTCAGAGCTTGTGCTCTTCAACAACTGAGCCACTCAGCCAGCCTCTTCTAAAATTTTTAACAGTCTTCATTAACTTTGAGGCTTTATTTTATAAAACAACA